GTCGTTGCGTGAAGGGACCGGAGGGGTGGGGGGGCTGGGGTAAGACAGGGCAGACTGTGCCTGGTCTGATGGGGACACATGGCCTTCTGGTGTTCCCAGGTGGTTCAAGAGTGATTAACACCCAGCCTGAACCAGCACTGGGTGCGTTCAGTCTCTAATTCTGAGCTTCTGTTTTGGGCCAGTTAATTGCAAGCAAATATAACCGTGTACTGCAGGGTCCACTTTATTTGTAATAAGGGAAATGTGCCTTAATCATCTTTTGCCTTAGCCTGGTGTTGCTCAGTTGGCTCAGGATCAGCCCGAGAAGAATGATATTTATTTTGCCCCCAAAAACTCAGCCCATGGGAAGAGGGTGTGAGTTGCCCAAGGGTTGATACCATACGTTGCCTGACTCGAAACCCAGCGCGTTCCGTTCCTGCCTGCTGCCTCTGCTGTACAGGCTCGGGAGCTAAAAACGAGCCATGCCCGTCACTTGGTGCAGCTGGAGGTGGCCGTGCGGCCCTGTTCTGGCAATGAGAAGTGAAGTGAAACGTGCCACGCCGCTGCCTCGCTTCCTTCTTGTTCCCGCACGAGGCCCGGGGCAGCGGTCACTGTCAAGGAGAATAGAGCAGAAAGAACGGAGGAGCCTGGGCCCGGGTGGCATCACAGCTATTACCCCAGCCCTGTTACCAATACCCAGACTGCTTTCTGCACAAAACAAATAAACCCCTTGTTTAATTTTAAAAACAAACAAAGAAAAAACCAGCCTGGAGTCAGCTTGCATCTTGCAGCTATTGTATACTTGGCGCGTGATGTTGGGCAAGTTATTCAACCTCTCTGAGCCTCAGTCCCTTCTATAAAAGGGGATAATAACTGAGGTTACCTGGCAAGGTTGTTATTAAATAAAAGGGCTGGGAGCAGGGCTGTGCACGTGGCGAGCCCTGTGTTTGGGGATGGCGCCGCTGAGAGGCTGGGGATGTTGTGACAGCAGCAGCTGCCTGGGACACTCTGGGCTCGTTGGGCGGACACTTTTAGAAGGGCTCAGTTTTGGGGGTGGAAGAGGGAGCCCAGAAAATCAGCAGCCTGCCCCACACCTGCCCAACTCTCCCAGCACTGCCCCGCCCGAGGAATCGATGGTGCAGGTCTAGGGAGGGGCCCAGGCATCTGCAGGTCTAACAGGTGCTCCACGTGGTCCGGAACCACAGACAGATGCTGACAGGCTGTCCAGGGGTGGGAGCAGTGAGCCCCACCCGCTGTGGGAGCCCAGAGCACCCACCGTCTGCCTGCCCTGCTGAGATCACGGCTCTACAGCAGGGGAGGGAGGAGAAAATAGAGTGTCTGCAATAGAGCCACCTGGTACCATTCTCTGAGCCTCAGTTTACCCACCTGTAAAGACAGCCCCCTCGCAGGCCTGATATTTTGTCCGTTTGGGCTCAACAACTCAGTGTGTCCTCACTGCCAGGCCTGTGCAGGGCACAGGAATTGAATGAGGACAAGCAGCCTGACCCCTGCCCTCGGGGTCGGGGCTGGACAGGGAATGGAAAAGTGGGACAGAGCTCCACGGAAGCTGTGAGCACCAGCCACACTCGGTCAGAGATAGCACAAGGAAACTAGGCACCATGAGGAAGAACCAACAGAACAGCCAGGTAGCAGGCCCGCGAAGGCCTGAGGATTTAGCAGGCCAGATGCCTTTTGCATTTAAAGGAGCAAGAAGAGGAGCCTTCCCCCAAGTGACCGTCCTCTCTTCTGTCCACAGACAGCAGCCCTCTCGTGGACAGCACGCCGGCCGGCTACGGGACCCTGACGATAGGGACATCAATAGATCCCCTCAGCTCCTCAGTTTCATCCGTGGTACGTGGACAGTGGGGGCGGGGAGACTCCAGCTGGGGTGATACCCAGGCCCACCCAGACACCCTGACTCCCTCCCCCCCGGGCCCTCTCTCGCCTGCGTTCCCAGAGGCTCAGCGGCTACTGTGGCAGTCCATGGAGGGTCATCGGCTATCACGTCGTGGTCTGGATGATGGCTGGGATCCCTTTGCTGCTTTTCCGATGGAAGCCGGCATGGGGGGTGCGGCTGCGGCTGCGGCCATGCAACCTGGCCCGCGCCGAAACACTCGTCATCGAAATAAGAGACAAAGAGGTGAGGGCCAGGCCAGGCCAGGGGCCCGGGAAGGGCGACGGGGGGTGGACGATGCTGGGGGTCCTAGCCCAACCCAGCCACTGACTTCCACGGGACATTAGGCATGTGATTCTCCTCTCTGGACCACAGGTTTCCTGTCCCAGCAGTGGGCAGCAGTTGGGGGGCTCACCTAATAGCCCCGATTTCTGCCTTCTCCAGCAGAGGCCACCTGGCCATGGGACAGGGCCTGGGAGGGGCAGGGTCTCTTCCAGGACTGAGCCCAGTCCTCTGTGTTCTAGGATAGTTCGTGGCAGCTCTTCACCGTCCAGGTGCAGACCGAGGCTGTGGGCGAGGGCAGGTGAGGCGGCCCCTTCGCCCTCCCAGAAGCCCCTGCCCCCCCCCCACAAAGGCTGCCGCTGGTGCCTCCCGTCCCAGGGAAAGAGGGTGGCTCTGTGGGGCCAGGGAGGTGCTGGGGCAGCTCCCAGAGCCCCAGAGTAACCCCCACACCCCTCCCCAGCCCGGAGCTGCCCCAACAGGCCCAGGCGAAGGATGGCCGGCGCCAGGTGGCTGTGGGAGCAGTACCAGAGGGTACCTGGAAGGACACCACCCAGCTGCACAGGCAGGAGGAGGCAGTGAGTGGACAGCTAGGTTCTGGACCAGTCCTTGCCCTCTCTGGGCCTAGTCCCGGGCCCTGTGCAGCGGGAAGGTTGGACTCCCCGCTGTCCAAGCACCTTTGGGTTCTGTTGTCCCAAACATCCGGGATAATGCCGACCGCCTTTGTGCCTTCCAGCCTCTCCCCTCCTCTTTCCTGTCACGCTGGTGCCTGCCCCCTTCGCCCACTCCCGACGCACGCACACTGCCCCCGGCCAGCCTCCAACCCAGCCTCTTCTCTCCCTCGCCCAGAAGCAGGTGCTGCGGTATTACCTCCTCCAGGGCCAGCGCTACATCTGGATCGAGACCCAGCAAGCCTTCCACCAAGTCAGGTAGGAGCCAGGGCCGGCGCAGGCGACGTCACTGCCCAGAGTGGGCTGGTGTGGGCACAGGTGGTGGCATGAAGTGGCCTGGCTTGGCCTGAGCTCCCCTCTCGGCTCTGCCACGTGTGCCCCCTGCAACCTTGGGCAGGTTACTGAGCCGGTCCAGGCCTGAGGTCTGTGTCTAGAACGGGGTTGGGGATAACCCCCAGCTCCTAGGGTTACCTCGAAGGTGAAATATATAAGAACTTTTGTAAAGCTTGGCACAGCCTCTGTCCCGGGTGGTGACACTGCTGTGAATCAGACCATAGGCTTGGACTCAGGCAATCTGCTTGGGGTTTAGTCCCGCTCTGCCACCTACTAAATGCTTAATAAATGTGAGCTCACGACACACCTTAGTCCAAGTCCCCCAGAGGCAGACCCCAGGACGAGGATTCCAGTACAGGGAGGTTGTTTGCGGCACCAGGGAAGTGGGACAAGGGAGGGAAGGAAGCCAAAGGAGAGTGTTGTCGTGCTGGATGCCAGCGTGGACGCCTGGAGCTCAGTCGCCCTGGGGGTCTCCTGAGGCCAGTATAACAAGTACACACCTCGGGGTGAGCTCACCCACGGCGCGAGGGAGCTGGGGACACTTACCTGTCCACTCCTACCATCACGGGTTGTGGGCTGCTCCCTGGGACATGAACTCTTCTGCACTTCCGGCTTTCTGGGCTCTTGGGTCGAGCAGCTCATGCAGCCAGGAGAAGTCCTCAAGTAAAGACAGGTGTCCGCAGGAAGCTGCCGTGTCATGCAGAGGTGAGGCCAAGGGGCAATAGGGTTGGCACCAATAGCCTCTGCCACATAACACGGATAGTAGCGAGAGTCGCTGGCATGTTGGTCACTTAGCAAGTGCCAAGCACTGTCCATAGCACTCTGCATGGCTCACCTCGTTTAATCCACCCATAGCCCTAAGGTTACTGCCCCCTTTTGCAGATGAGAAAACTGAGGCACAAAGAGGGCAAGTGACTTGCCCAAGGTATCGTCAGTGTAAATAATGCTCTTGTCACTAAATAACATCTGCTCTTGCCAATGTTAATATTAGTATCACCTCCCATTGTTCTCCTTCCTCGGTGAGATGTTTGGGTTCCAGTCAGAGGAACAAAGGAGAAAGCTGAGCCGAGTTCATGAGGGACAGAGTGTGGTGTGGCAGAGTGGGTCAGAAGGGGCCTGGCGCCCTGAGGCCCTGCCTGCACAGGCTGGGGGATGCAGAGCTCAGGCCCTGTGGCCCACACAAGTGTCCCCACCCCCGCCAGCCTGCTGGACCACGGCCGCACCTGTGACGACGTCCACCAATCCCACTCCGGCCTCAGCCTCCAGGAGCAAACTTTGAGGTGGGTGCTGCGCTGGGCCGGGGTGCCCTGAGACTAGAGACCCCAAACTTCCCTGCCCCCCGTGCGGCTGCCTTCTAGTCCCCCACCTTCTCTGGGCCTCAGTTTCCTCAGCTGTAAAATGGGGAGCTCTATCACCCTGGGAGGGTGCGCCGACAGCCCCTCCCTCTGACGGCTCGGCCTCACCCTCTTGCAGGAAGGCCATCTACGGCCCCAACGTGATCAGCGTACCGGTCAAGTCCTACCCGCAGCTGCTGGTGGACGAGGTAGGGCTGTCCCTGGTCTTGGCCCAGCTCCAGCCTGGCTTGCTGTGTGAGCGTGGCCCACAGCTTGCCTCTTCTGGGCCACTGTGCAATAGCAGACCAGACAGCTGTCCCCTTCTCCATAGTGGAGTCAGCCCAGACCCTGCTCTGGTCAGCCCAGCTAGCCAGGCTGGAATTGGAGGTTCCGCTCAAGGCCTGGGCCAGGGATTGGGGCGCGGCCTGTAGGGGCGAGAGCCAGGAGTGAATCCACATAGCTGAGCACCTGCCAGGTGCCCGGAGACATGCCCTGGAGCCTGGGGCCTTCCCGTGCGTTTTCCACTGTCATTCTCCCAACAGCCCCGTGAGGAAGGGCTGGGACGACACTGTCCGCACATGAGGAAACCAGGCTTCAGAAGGGGGGGCGTGACGTGGCCAAGGTCACACAGGGACAAAGGGAAGCCAGTGACCCGGACACATCTAGAGTAACGTGTTACCATCTCAGCCCTCTCAGCTGGGGACAGACACCACGGAAGAGTCTTGGAGTCTGGCCTAATACAAACCCCCGTCTCCCACTTAGTAACTATGTCGCTTTAGGCCAGTGACTTAATCCTTCTGTGCCTCAGTGTCCTCATCTGTAGAATGGAGGAGATGGCGGCACTGCCTTGTGGAATTGTCATCAGCATTGTATGACACTTGAAGTGCTTAGTGGGGTCCTGGCTTGTCCTCTTTAGAGCAGAGAGGCTCCGGGGACGTCTGGTTGAGGGGACAGGATCGGCCAGGAGAGAGGCCTGCCTTCAGTCCTTTGGCAGCCACTGGGCCCCTGCTCCGTGTCTGGGTGCCCCGGGGACACAGGTGCTGACGCTCTCCCTCCCCAGGCGCTGAACCCCTACTACGGGTTCCAGGCCTTCAGCATCGCGCTGTGGCTGGCCGACCGCTACTACTGGTACGCCCTCTGCATCTTCCTCATCTCCGCTGTCTCCATCTGCCTGTCGCTCTACAAAACTAGAAAGGTGAGTGGTGCGAGACAGGCAGGGCGGGCAGGGAGGTCCCTGAGGGGCCCCCTCCCCACTCCCCTCTTGTCCCCTGCCCACAGCAAAGCCAGACTCTGAGGGACATGGTCAAGCTGTCGGTGCGGGTGCGCGTGTGCCGGCCCGGGGGAGGTAAGGAGCAGGGCCCAGGACGGTGGAGGGGGACGGGGGTGGGGGGCGGTGGCGGTGGCGGGCTCAGCCTGCTGACTCTCCCTGCCCTCAGAGGCACAGTGGGTCGACTCCAGCGAGCTGGTGCCCGGCGACTGCCTGGTGCTGCCCCAGGAGGGCGGGCTGATGCCCTGCGACGCCACCCTGGTGGCTGGCGAGTGCGTGGTCAACGAGAGCTCCCTGACAGGTCAGCCCCCGGCCCCCCACATCAGAAGTTTGGGTTTTACTTTTCTTTTCGTTTTTCTCTCAAGTAACATTCTAGCCTCCACACTTGCTAATCCCGTACCATTGGGCTGTGTTGCTTAACCTCACTGTGCCTCAGTTTCCTCTTCTGTAAAATGGGGCTGTCACTCCTGGACAGGGTTGTGTGCGAAGTGCTTAGGAGCGCGAGTGGTGCGGGGTAAGCACCCAGTGCGCGTGAACTATTTCTACGTGAATGTCTGCCTTCGGGTCATGAGGATGGCGGAGGACGTAAAACGTGCAGCACAAACTGGGAGTCACCGTTCATCCCCCCACGATCCCCGTCCTGCCCTCCCCAAGGCAGCCACTGTGAAGGGCTTGAGGTGTCCTTCCAGGCCTTTGTCTGCGTAGATATAGGGTGTGTGCACAGGTGCAGATACACCTCACCTGTGTACATGGGATCGTGCTGCATGTATGTTCCGTACTTGGCTTTCTGTCCTGGGCCGTGTTCCCTGCGCATGTGACTCCACCCCCTCCCGCCCCGCCCCCCCTCCGGCTGTGTAAGAGGCCACATCGTGGGTGTGTCATAACTGACCCACCTGGTCCACTAGCAGTGAGCATTTACATTGTGATTGTCCAGCCATTGCAGGTGACGCCACCAGGAGCAGCCTTGTCTCATCCCTCACCATGTGCAAATATTTCTTTCTCTGGGATGTGTTAGATCTTCGTGGTTGATACTGGATAGAGTTTACTAGAAACTACAAGATAGTAGTTTTTTTCCAGGGAAGGTTTACTGGCTGGAATTCTGTTTGTATAATAATGATGATGATGATCAGTATGATTCACCGGCGCATGCCCTGAGCCTAGCCCTCCACAAACTCTGTCCACACTTGCCGCATCTGCCCACCTGTTGGAGGGCAGAGTGTGTGCCTGGATTGTCCCGAGTCCCTCCCAGGAATCGGCACACAGTAGGTGCTCAGTAGTCTCATCCTCCCGGCATTCGGTAAGGGATTGCTGCTCTGCCAGGCAGCCTGCCCAGGGCTTTCTGTAGGTTCTACCCCTCACCCTCCTGGAAGTATCTGTATCGGTTTGAATTATAAAAGCAATATGTGCTTGTTATCAAATGATTCCAACAGAAGGAGAAAGACTTCCCCCCAGCCCTGCCCACTACACACGTGCCCACACGTGCTCCTTCTGACGGCCCGGAGATGGTTCCTGGTAATTGGCCGCTACTCCCCTCCCGGGGCGTCTTGCTGTGCCTTTGCCTTTATGTCTTCAGCCCTCTCAGCCTCAAGATCCCTCTCTGTAAAGTGGGGCTGTGATTTCTTGTTCACACCTGGTTGCAGAATTAAATGAGACCTCAGCCTTATGGAACAATTCTACACATAACTCCTGGTTTTGTTGGTGGGAGGGAACGGCATGGGGGGCCTCTCGTGGGCCTCACACCATGTCCTCCCCAGGGGAGAGCGTCCCAGTGCTGAAGACGGCCCTGCCAAGGGGGCCAGGGCCCTACTGCCCAGAGACGCACCGGCGGCACACGCTCTTCTGCGGGACGCTCATCATGCAGGCCCGGGCCTACATGGGACCCCATGTCCTGGCGGTGGTAACCCGGACAGGTATGAGTCGGGAGGCTGGGAGGGAAGCTGGGCTCGGTGCCTACGGGAGGGGTGATGCAGGGCAGGGTGGGACCCGGAGCCCAGAGCCTGGACCCCACACCCACCTCTGCCAGGGCCCTGCTGTGGGACCTCAGGCAAGTCCCCCCACCAGCTGGGGCCAAGCATCGCGATGTCTCTAGGAACCAGCAGGGCTCAAACGCTGGAGGGGGCAGGGATGTGGCAAGCAGAAAAGCATCCAGCCTGTATCTGGATTTTGAGCGAAACCACCCCATTTTTAAATGTTGTCCACTAATTCCATTCTTAAAAACCCTATGAGACCTGGGCAAGACTTGTGGGCCATATTTGTGACCCCAAACTAGGTGACGGCTACCCCCTGGGCATCATGTCCTACAACCCCAGAGGTGCGGATAGAGTGGGCTAGTGGTGGGGAGACCTGCCCTAACCCCAGCTTCCCCCCAGGCTTCTGCACGGCTAAGGGGGGCCTGGTGAGCTCCATCTTGCATCCCCGGCCCATCAACTTCAAGTTCTATAAGCACAGCATGAAGTTCGTGGCTGCGCTCTCTGTCCTGGGTAAGTGGTCCCAGCACCGTACTTTCCCGGTGTCCCTGGCCCAGGTCCCAAATCCCACTCAGTCCCTCGCTGTCTCCCTAGCTCTCCTCGGCACTGTCTACAGCATCTTCATCCTCTACCGCAACCGGGTGAGCCTCGGGGGCCGGGCAGGGGCTGCCAGCAGGGCCCCGGCATGCCCAGCCTAGCGCTCGGCATTCATGGTGCCTCCTGACAGGTGCCTCTGAAAGAGATTGTGATCCGGGCTCTGGACCTGGTGACTGTGGTGGTGCCGCCTGCCCTGCCGGCCGCCATGACCGTGTGTACGCTCTACGCCCAGAGCCGGCTGCGGACACAGGGCATCTTCTGCATCCACCCCCTGCGCATCAACCTGGGCGGCAAGCTGCGGCTGGTGTGTTTTGACAAGGTGGGGGCCGCAGGGCGGGGTTGGCACCCTCAGCCAGGCCCCCACCCACACCCGCATTGTCCACTCAGCAGCACTGACCGAGGGTCCGCTGGACACCGGGTCCTGCCAGGGCGGAAACACCCAGAGAACCCCCCGCCCCTGCCCAGCCTCCCTCTCCCCAGGCTCATGGTCTGGCCGATGAAACTGACTCATGTGTTCAAGAACCCCTGAGGTCCTACTGTGCACCCAGTGCTGTTCTCAGCCCTGGGGTCCAGCGGTGACCAACACAGAAGCATCCTCACGGACGCTGACATGCATGTCCCCCGCAGAAAGTGAACAGGGAACGCACGAGAGTCGCAAGGGCAGTGGGTTTTAGGAAGGATGGGGTAGGACGGTGGGTGGGGAGTGGGGAGCATTCCTTAGAGAGACGGCAGTCAGAAAGCCCCCGAGTAGGTCCCTCGGTGACCTCAGCAAGGGGGGACAGGGCAGAAAGGTGGCTTCTCTGGGGAGCAGACCGACAGTACCTGGGACCCGGTGAGAGGTCGGCAGCAGCCTGGGCGGAGGAGGCTGGAGGCTGGACAGTATTCCAAGGGGGCCACAGAGAGTTTCTAAACCGGCGGGGAGGGAGCGGGGCGTGATCAGATTCCCACAGCCGTCCGGCTAGCCAAGGAGCCGGACGTGTGACGGGTGCCGGTGTGCAGGTGGGGAACGCAGGCGTTCGTTCTCTCACGCAGCAGGTGCACTGAGCGCTGGCTGCGTGCCAGGTCCTCCTCCAGGTTCCACAGGGCACACACGGTGGGCACGTGCAGAGGCCACAGGTGGGAGCCCAAAGCAAGGACCACCTGCCCTAACCCTGGGAGTTCAGGAAGAAAACTTCCTGGAGGAAATGACACCAGGCAGAAAACCAGTGGGGGTTGGGGGTGACCCCGGCAGAGGGAACCCCTCGTGCAAAGGTTGAGAGGCAAGGAAAGGCGGAAGGGTGTCTTCAGCTCCAGCTCGGGTTCCTGGGGGCCCACAGCCCCACTTGGCCTGGGGTGTGGACGCCCACCTCATCCTGGGACTCACTGCCCCACCCACCTGTCCCCACAGACAGGCACCCTCACTGAGGACGGCTTGGACGTGATGGGGGTGGTGCCCCTGAAGGGGCAGGCGTTCCTGCCACTGGTCCCTGAGCCCCACTGCCTGCCCATGGGGCCCCTGCTCCGAGCACTGGCCACCTGCCACACCCTCAGCTGGCTCCAAGACACCCCAGTGGGCGACCCCATGGACCTTAAGATGGTGGAGTCTACTGGCTGGGTGAGGAAGCCAAACACATCAGCCCCCTGCCCCTGGGCAGCTGGGCCTAACAAAGCCCACCCTGTCTTCGTTCTGGGTTTCCCAGGGTGGTCTCTGTCATGCCCACCATCTGTAACAATGGCTGCACGAGCCTGCTCTCACTCGCTCCTCCCAGGACCCTAGTGAGCAGCCCTAAGAGGGGCACTAAGGCTGCGAGGGATTGGGGATAATTTACCCAAGGTCACCCCGCAGCTTATAAGTGGCAAAGCCAAAGTTTGACTTTGAGTCCACTCGGCTCCAAAGCCCACGTTCCTAATGTCCGTACCTCTGTAAGTCTAACCCGAGTCTCTCCGTGGGCCGAGGGCCCTGGGCACCACCCTCCTCTGCCTCCTGCAGGTCCTGCAGGAGCCAGCCACAGACTCGGCCTTTGGGGCCCAGGTCTTGGCAGTGATGAGACCCCCACTTCGAGAGCCCCAGCTGCAGGGAACGGTGAGCTGGGGGTGCCTGTGGGGTGTGGGGTCTGGGGGTGGGTGCCCCAGCCAGCCCCTCAGCTGCCCCCGACCCTGCAGGAGGAGCCCCCGATGCCTGTCAGCGTCCTCCGCCGCTTCCCGTTCTCCTCGGCCCTGCAGCGCATGGACGTGGTGGTGGCATGGCCAGGGGCCGCTCAGCCCGAGGCCTGTGTCAAGGGCTCCCCTGAGCTGGTGGCAGGCCTCTGCAAGCCCGACACAGGTGAAAGGGCAGGCCCCGGGGTCCGCTGGTCGGGCACTGGACAGAATGGGGTGGGTGCCCGGCCTCTGTCCCTGCACCACCCCCTCCTGACACCAGCCTCTCCCTGGCAGTGCCCCCCGACTTCGCCCAGACGCTGCAGAGCTACACGGCTGCCGGCTACCGCGTCGTGGCCCTGGCCAGCAAGCCGCTGCCCATCGCGCCCAGCCCGGAGGCAGCTCAGCAGCTGACGAGGTCGGCCTGTCCCCACCCTGCCCACAATGAGGACTGAGCCTCAGGCCCAGGCGTGGCAGAGGGAGGCTCTCAGGCAGGCAGGGCCAGGGACGATGCCTCTGCCTAGTAGCTGGGAAAGGGGCCTTGGCCCTTGCGTGACCTCTGACCTGGGTCTGCCTACCCACTAGGGACACTGTGGAGCAGGAGCTGAGCCTCCTGGGGCTGCTGGTCATGAGGAACCTGCTGAAGCCACAGACGACACCAGTTATCCAGGCTCTGCGGAGGACCCACATCCGCACCGTCATGGTGACAGGTACCTGTGGCTTGCAGGGGCTGGATTGGGACAGCAGAGAGAAGGGACCAGCAGCTCTTCCTGGGGCATCTTTTTGGACCCCTGCTTCAGGCCAGGTCCTTTGTGAACATTTCATGTGAACATCTTCAGAATATCCCTCCCACGTGGTCATTGTCACCCCCATTGGACAGCTGAGGAAACTGAGGCTCCAAGGAGTGGAGTGGCTTCCCAAGAGCCCAGGAGTGGTGTCAGGCTGCCTGGGTTCCAGGGCTGCGCATCTGCTGGGGGGGATGCTCCAGGTGCCAGCTTCCACCTCTGAGAAATGGGGACATGATGTCAGCCTCAGGCTGTGACAGTCTCAAGGAACAAGAAAAGAAAGATTCTAGCCAGGGTGAGACGCAGGAGCTGAGAGGTCTGGTCCGCCCACCCGCCACGCACACACACACATGTGCGCTTTCCAGCAGAAACACAGCAGGGGGAAGCATGCGTGAAGCTCTAGCCCAGGCCCCCAGTTTCTCCTAAGACTCTCAGAGGCCTGGACCTGCAGGTGGGACACTGAGGTCCAGAGACGTTCATAACCTGCCTCAGCTCACACAGCCGCACTGACAGATGGGTCCATCCAGCCTCAGTTCTCCCATCTGTAAAGGTCGGGGTGAGGGTGCCTTCCATGGATAGCGCTGGAGCCCAACCTTGCCCCTCACTCCCCAGGGGACAACCTGCAGACTGCAGTCACTGTGGCCCGGGGTTGTGGCATGGTTGGTCCCCGGGAGCGTCTGGTCATTGTCCACGCCACCCACCCGGAGCGGGGTCAGCCTGCCTCCCTCGAGTTCCTGCCAGTGGAGTCCTCCACAGCTGTGAACGGGGTGAAGGTGAGGCTGGCCCAGAGTTCTGGCTGCGCCCCACCCCGTGACCCCGCCCCTGTGTCACCCGACCCAGGCCCCAGCTCTCCAGGGAGGGCAGGGGGAGCTGAGCTGAGTTTCCCGGGCCCCCAGGATCCTGGCCAGGCCGCAGGCTACACCATGGAGCCAGATCCCCGATCCAGCCACCTGGCCCTCAGCGGGCCCACCTTTGGTGTCATTGTGAAGCACTTCCCCAAGCTGCTGCCCAAGGTAGGGCTGCCCCAGCCTGCCCTTCCCTGCCCCCTCCTCTCGGCACATTCTGGTGGTGGCTCAGCCCTTCCCCTGCCCCTGTGCCCCCAGGTCCTGGTCCAGGGCACCGTGTTTGCCCGCATGGCCCCTGAGCAGAAGACAGAGCTGGTGTGCGAGCTGCAGAAGCTTCAGTGAGTGCTCAGCCGTGGACGTGGGCAAGGTCTATGCAGCCCTGTCCCCCTCCTCGGGCGTCAGAGCGCCATCACCCTCCCGGAGCACCCGGGCAGGCTCTCCTGGGTCTACCTGCCACGAGTAATCCTGCCTCCATTCACGGGGCACCTGCTCTGCACCAGGCACCATGTGGGCATTAGGGCCCCAGGGGCTGGACCCCAGTGGCCACGACTGCCCACGCCTCTCCGTCAGGTACTGCGTGGGCATGTGTGGGGATGGCGCCAACGACTGCGGGGCCCTGAAGGCGGCCGACGTGGGCATCTCGCTCTCCCAGGCCGAGGCCTCGGTGGTCTCACCGTTCACCTCGAGCACGGCCAGCATTGAGTGTGTGCCCACGGTCATCAGGTGAGGTTGGCCAGGGGCCGGGGACCGGGGCTTGGCAGGGCCCGTCAGCCAGCCTGGGTGCCTCACGCCCACACCCTGTCCCCAGGGAAGGGCGCTGTTCCCTCGACACGTCATTCAGCGTCTTCAAGTACATGGCCCTGTACAGCCTGACCCAGTTCATCTCGGTCCTCATCCTCTACACGGTGAGGATCTGCACAGCTCCGGGCCCAGAGCCGCGCCGGGCCCAGGAGGGGACACAGCGCGCTCTCGAGTAGAGGATGTGGGCTCAAAGCCCGGCTCTGCCACTTTCTCACTGTGTAATTCGGGTGACAAGGCTCAGATGAGACGATGACAGTGCCAGGCACAGAGCCTGACACACGGTAGTTCCTCAGAAATGGCAGCAGCTGTCATGGGCTCGTGTCTTGTCCCTGACTCCTGGAGCTCCCTAACTGCAGGGGAGACTGAGGCAGAGCCCAGGCAGAAGTGGGGTGGAGCCAAGACCCTGCCCTGCCCGTTCCCACAGGCCCACTCACTTCCCCAGCCCCACGCGCTCTGCCCCCCACCCTGCTCACCCCCACTGAATGCAGGCAACACTGCGGGGCAGTGCAAATCTTGCACCGTGTCTGTCGCTGTGTCCACCTTAAAGCTAGGAACCTCCTGAGGGTGGGAACCATGTGTCCCCAGTAACCCAGGGGCTCCATAAGTCAGGCTAGGGCTTTGCTGCAGGTGGGGAAGCCTCCCCCATGAGATTTAGGCCCCCTGGGGTCGCATGGATGCCTTCTCCATCAGACTGGGGGCAGAGGGGACTCCTGAGCGCAGGACAGTGCCTCCTGCATCAGGCGGGGGCTTGTCTCATCCCAGGCGTGGTGCTGGAGGCTCCCGGGGGGGGGCGGAGAGAGTGCTGCCCGCCGGCCGCATTGGAGGGCAGGGGGCAGCTCCCCCACCAGACTCCTCAAGGGCAGGGCTGGGGCCTCCCCTGTCAGACAAGAGGCTCCCTGGGGCTGGGCTGGAGCCAGGGTCACAGTTCCCCTCTGTCCTCCCTCCCTTGCGGCAGATCAACACCAACCTAGGTGACGTGCAGTTCCTGGCCATCGACCTGGTCATCACCACCACGGTGGCAGTGCTCATGAGTCGCACGGGGCCGGCGCTGGCACTGGGGCGGTTGCGGCCACCGGGGGCCCTGCTCAGCATGCCCGTGCTCAGCAGCCTGCTGCTGCAGGTGACCCTGGTGGCCGGTGTGCAGCTGGGAGGCTACTTCCTGACCGTAGCCCAGCCTTGGTGAGTAGGGAGCTGGCCAGCCCCGTGCCCCCTGCCCCGTCCACCCACGCTCATTCCCTGACCCCCGTCCCTGCACCCCTAGGTTTGTACCCCTGAACAGGACAGTGCCTGCGCCGGACAACCTCCCCAACTACGAGAACACAGTGGTCTTCTCTCTGTCCAGCTTCCAGTACCTCATCCTGGCTGCAGCCATGTCCAAGGGGGCGCCCTTCCGCCAGCCGCTCTACACCAACGGTGCTGCAGCGTGGGGGGCTGGGGGGAGGCAGATGGGAGAGATGGGGGTGCTCCGTGGGTGGAGGGCACGTGTGCATGTGTCCCGGGCATGCGGCTCCCTGGCTGACAGACTCCCCTACCCCCAGTGCCCTTCCTGGTGGCCCTGGCGCTCTTGAGCTCTGTCCTGGTGGGCCTCATCCTGGTCCCCGGCCTCCTGCAGGGGCCGCTGGCGCTGAGGAGCATCGCCGACACCCACTTCAAGCTGCTCCTGCTGGGCCTGGTCGCCTTCAACTTGGTGGGGGCCTTCATGCTGGAGGTGGGGCCCGCCCCTCCTGCGGCAGTGGGTGGGAAGGGGGAGGGGGCCCGGCGCCCCAGCGGCTCCGCCACCCCCTCCCTGCCCTCCCCAGAGCGTGCTGGACCAGTGCCTCCCGGCCTGCCTGCGCCGGCTGCGGCCCAAGCGGGCCTCCAAGAAGCGCTTCAAGCAGCTGGAGCGGGAGCTCGCGGAGCAGCCCTGGCCGCCACTGCCCGCCGGCCCCGTGAGGTAGTGCAGGCCTGCCCGGCCCACTAGACACTGGATCTCCCTGCCTCTGAGCCGCCCCCGGACCCCTCTCCAGAAACACCACGGCCACCGCCTCGCCCCGCAGCCCCGAGGTCGGCATTGTCACACTCCTGCCCCAAGACTGCCCCCACCCTGGGGATGTGCTGTCATCCCCACTAGAGACCAGCCGTGTAGACACGGCAGCCACCAACTCCACTCAGAGCCGCTGTCGGTGTAGCAAATGAAGTCGTGGTATTTTCCTGGCTTGGCCCTGCCTGTCTCGTACCTGGCGCCCAAGACCCTCCCAGGTCCCCAGCTGGCAGCCCCTGATTTTAGGTCACACTGGACACCTCCCCTGTGGGGCCTCCATTTCCTCATCTATCTGACGGTAATAAATTTCCTCTGTTTAGCATTTCGCACGCGTTGTCCTGTAATCCTTCCAGCAACTGCAGGGTACGATCCCCATTTTATAGATGACGGAACCGAGGCTTAGAGGTCACACCAGTAGTCAGAGGTGGGACCAGATCACTTTGTCTCCAGCTTCCGGGCTCTTGCTCCTCTAGGGGAGGGGAGCAGTGGGCTTGCTGAGGAGGCCCTGGGGGGTCGAGGGAAGTTCCTTTCTCTTCCACCTCTCCCTTCCCCCGCCACCCCCACATCCTGGGACACGTCTGTGGTCCGGTTCCTCCCTCAGATAAAATCCAGGCTCTGAGCCCACATCTCCCAGCCAGAACCACGTGCACCATCCCCCGGGGAAGGGTGGGAGCCTCTGAGCTCATCCCACCAGTGGGCCACTGGCCAAGCCCCTCTGCTCTGGAGATGGCGGCTCGGTTATCTGGCTCATCTGGGCAGGGAGAACAGGAAAGAAAGGCTGTTTCCTGCCCTCCAAAGCCCCCGCCAACCTCATCCCCGGAACCCCGGCTGCTGCCCACAGGCCTGCATGGCAGGAGCTCCGTGAACGTTGACGTTGACTCAAGCTGGGGAGAAGGGATGTGGGGTGTGGGAAGGTGTGGCGTCAGGCACAGTCAGACCTCCACGCCAAGCAGTCAGACCTCCATCACCAGCTGTGATAGACCAGGATGGTAGATGCTCTTTAAGCGGAGGACGCAGAGCCCTGGGTTCAAGTCCCTCCTCTACCCTTTACCTGTTGGGCAGGCATGTACCAGGAGCAGGGGCTAATGAGGGGAACAGAAACGCATCGGCCAGTGTGCAGCTCACCACGCAGAGGAAGGAGCACATCTCCAGGGACATAGTGGGAAAAGAGTGACCACACCCACTGTCCCCCACTCGCCCAAAGAGCTGCCACTTCTCCTTGGATCCTTAGGGCCAGGGGAGTGGGCAGGAGCAGAAGAGAGGATGTGGAAGCCAGGACACTAGAGTTGGCAGCTTTTGGGCCTCCGTTAACCCCCTTTCGTCAAGTGTAGGGGACAGCATTTCTGCCAGGCAGTTTCCTGTCCTCTCCCAGTAGGATTGCACCTGGCAGCAAGCTAAAGGAAGCAGCGAGGACTGGGCTGGTTGGAGGGCCCACTGCTCTCCAGGTGACAGAAGTCCCTGCCATGCTGCACAAGGCACTGGGGAGTGGGCAAATATTCATTCCACAAACCAGCACTGGGGAACAAATGATGCACAGGACATAGCACTGCTTAAAAGGACTCAGAGTCTACGGGACAGGCGGGGCAGGGGGTTGCAGGAGATCCCACGGCTAGGGTCTAAACCAGGGGCATCCAGATCTCCTCCCAGCCTGCAGCCCCCACAACTCTCACCCCTGCCTCAGACCTAGGCTCCGTGGCCAGGCGGGGCTGAGGGCTGCCCAAGAGACAGGGGACCTGCACCCCCCACCACCACCCAGCTAGTCTCTCCCAGGTGAACCGAGTGTACCGCTCATCCATTCGTTCCACAAACGTTTGCTGGACTGCTGCTCCAAGCCTGCATGTGCCGCGGTGCCCAGTGAGCAAAAACAGACCTCGTCCCCGCCTGCCTGGGGCCAACAGGCTGAGCGGGAAGGGGGACAGAATTCAAACAGTCACAGACACAGGGCAAGACAGCCGTGAGCAATAATGCCTGAGAGCAGGTAAGGAGGAGAAAGGGAAGGCTCCCTGAGGAAGGGAGGGTTTGATCTGGGTCCACATGGAGACCTCTACCAGTGTTCCAGGAGAAATGGCTTGAGCAAAGGCCCTGTGGCAGGAAGAGGGGGCGGTTAAGCGACAGACTGCCAAGAAGTCAGCTTTGTTGGAGGACAAGGAGGCAGAGCCAGGCCAGTGCAGGGCAGGGTCCTCGGAGGCTACAGGGGAGTTCAATCCTGATTCCCAGCCCCTCGGAAGCCAGTGAAAGTGTCCATAATCTGAGGTGGGTGGGGAAGGGCAGGGCCCGTGGGGGAAGGCCCGGACTGGGGGCTCCCACAGAGCCAGGCAGGAGATGGTTGGTGGTGCAAACTAAAGAAGAAAACCAGGCTTTTAAAGCATTCAAGTTAGTTTCATTCAGAGCCTTACTGAGGATTGCAGCCGGGAGCTGCGGAGTGTTGCCGTTGGCGCAGCGTTCCGGCCCACCGCTTACCTACAGGTGGGGACTCTGCACGTGCAGAAGGTACCTTAGAGCAAAATCTCATCCCCGGTTGGGTGTGAGGGTACATCCGAGGGTACACAAAGGCACAATCGTTAATGCTGTCACGTTATCTTGTGTACAGGAAGCAGCAGGGGCCAGGACCACTGAAAATGCAGCGATTGAAGCAAGAGCGGCGGATGGTTTTCAGGGCGTTCTTCCTGAGGGCTGCACTCAGTCACCGGGGTCAGGTCTTTGTGAAATTCTGCCCGCAAGCACAATGACACAGTTTCCCAGGGCGAAGCAGTGGACAGACTCACAGAAGGTACCTGGGACGGAGAATGGGCGGTTGGGTGCTGGGCTGGATGCAGGGCTGAGGGCAGGGGAGCAAGCCTGCGTGCTGGAAGGCCGGTGGGACAACTCCTGGGCCTGGGAACACCTGGAGGGCCAGGTCTGGATGAGGGTTAGGAGGCTGTGAATTTGGACTTGGATGCTTGTTGAGTCGGATGTGCCTAGGGGACACGGGCACATGGGCCTGGTCGGGGCTGAAGGAAATGCTGGTTAGGAGGCCACAAGCTCTGGGGCGCAGGAGGAGGAGGAGCTGGCTACGGAGCCCCAGAGGTTCCCCCAGGGAGGCAGGCGGGAAACCAGGCCCGGGAGGGTGTCCTGGAAGCTGGGAGAAGCCGAAGGGTGAGCAAGGTTCACTTTCTGCTGCCTGGCCTTGGGAGACAGCTTGGGAAGCGCAGTTTCACCCTCTGTGCGATGGGGTAGCACACCCACCTCGCCCACCTGGCCGTGTAGAGCGAGGACTCGACGTTAGGGGAAGGCAGCGCTTGGCACAGACGTCAGGACGGCTGGGCGGGCCCCTCCTCCCCCAGGGCCGCCCCAGAGGAGGGTCGGAGCCCCGAGGGCGCGGCGCCGAGGCCTGGGCGGGCCGCTCGCGTTAGGACCCAGCGGATCTGGGGCTGGAGGGCGGGCGCCAGCCCGTCGGGGGCCCGGAGGGGGGCTCGGAGCGGGCACAGGGGCGGCTCTGGCGGGCAGACTCGGAGCGGGCGGCGGAGTGACCCGGACAGGTAGGCGCGGGCCTGGCGCTGGCGGCCGGGGGCCCGGGGTGTGGGCAGGGGCGTCGGCGGGGCCCTAGGCGCGGGGGTGCCGGTGGCCTCTCCGGCCCCCGATCCTGGGGGCAGCTGCAGAGGGGGCACCTGGAAAGTTGGAGGTCGCTTCGGGGTAGAACACGAGTTTGGAAGGGCAGGGAGCCCAAGTTTGGGGGAGCCAGCGGTGGGGTGTCTCCCCGGGAGGCTGGAATGTGGCGGGTGGGGTGGGGGGCTGGTGGGAGCAGCTGAGACAGAGACGCAGAGAGACAAAGAGAGATCAGAGACCGTGGAGCTCTAGGAGCTCGGAGCCAGTTTCCGGGCTGATTGTTCCCAGCTGTGCGGCTGCAACATCTGGTTTCCTCCTGCGGGGACACCCCCTGCCCGGCCTCTGGAGCAGGCAGAGCCCTCCCTCAGTCTGAGCCAGCGTGGGGGCCCCTTGCTCCCCTCCTCCCTGGGATGCAGAGGAGGGAAGGAGGCAGTTATGGAGGGGCTAGAGGTGGGGGTGCAGCCTCCTGGACAGGTCCCGGCTGCCCCAACGCCCCCAAACCCCCTTGTCTAGGAGCGCTTGGAGGTGTGGTCCCCTGGCGTTCCTCCCACACTGACTCCTGTCTCCAGCCCCAGCCCCAGCCCCTGGGCCCCCTTCCCCCAGTGAGCATGGGCATGGGTGCCAGTCCCGGAGGAGGGACACTCCATGGCGGGCACTGAGAGGCATCGCCCCAAGGTCTTGAGGCCCCTCAGGCCAGGCTGACCGTGGCGGGGTGGGGGGCAGCAAGGAAGGATCTTTAGGTCTCCGGTCCCCCTGCGGTGAGGAGGCCCAGGGTTTTCAGAGTGGGGGTGTGGGGAGCCAGATGTCCCCTGCCTCTGGGGCAACTTGAGTCACAGCTCCCGCATCCCACCCGCTCTCAGAGGTGCTGGATGCATGAGCTGGGCAGGGGTCAGGGAGGTCTCAGGAGCGGGAGGGGGGCAGAAAGCTGGCCACGTTTCTGCCCCTCTCCTAGATCCCCAGGGGGCAGTACAGCAAAGTTAGGGTTTCCAGTTAGCTGTCTGGAAGAACTTCCTGTGTTGGGGCAGGGAGGGCCCTCCCGGATGGATGGGCCCTGGACTCAGCCCGCACAGCCCTCCCCGCAGAACGCCGGCCGTCTGGAGGTTGCCCTCCACTGAGCTGGGACCAGACGTGGGGACCTGGAGGCTCCGCCAAGTCCACTGTGCAGCCAAGACTGGAGGCCGGACTCCACCAGGGGTTCTGGAACATCGGGAACCTGGTGAAAAGTGTGCACCAGTGCCCTCTCCCAAATAATTACACACACATCACTTGTCCTACAATGTCAGGGTGTTCAGAACGCCTGGGCGGGCGACATCATGGCCCCCTCCAGTGCTGCCCCCCTCAGACTCCACTCTAAGTGTTTCCTCCCGCTGCAGAAACAGACCTCAGGCTCTCAGTCTGTGACGAAGACCGCCAGGTCCTGGGAGGCCTGAGGCCTGGCAGGAGAGGAGTCTTCTGGGGGCTGGGAGCCCTGCCCAGCCTGGCTGCTCTGGGGGCCCTGGGCCATGTGCACGTGGTTTCCTGCCTAGCGAGATGCTCCAGGCCCAGGGGCTAATTGGGAGCAGGTGGTGGGCTTGGCCCAGGCTGCTGAGC